ATGCATTCCAAGTTAAGGCTGGCCTTGCTGGCTGCGGTCTGGCATTGGCGGCTCATGTTCATCTTGGAGTCAATATTGACTCCAAGATCCCTTTCCACCTCTGTGCTTTCAAGATTCATCTTGTATGCATGCTGCGGATTCCTTCTCCCAAGGTGCAGCACCCTGCATTTATCTACATTATCTAGTACTTCACATTTCTACCAAGTGTTCACCTTGGTAACGCCTAATTTATTCTTTCTTCATCTTGGAGCATGGTCTTAGTTTGCATTGCTCCTGGCACAATTTGTCGTTCAAAGTAGGGGAAAATTGACAGAGATCTGCTTTATTCACTCTCTGAATTCTGATTTATCAACACTCTATTACATGAATCTGTGCATAATGTAACAGGACATTAAAACTGGCTCAGGCCAGAGCCTGTTGTAGTTATTGTTATCCACAACATCCCCTTTGGTTACAAGCAGCCTGGAAAGCTCTTCACTGACCTCGTGTAAGTGCACCATCCTGCTTCTTTGCAACTATAGAAGAGAAATAATTATCGAGTATGTCTGCCTCTTCTAAATACTTAACAATTATATTGTCTCCATCTGGTAATAGATCTATATAACTGCTGAGAACTCTTCTGTTCTTGATGATAATTTAAAAAAAAAATTCTTACTTTCCTTAGCTTTGCCAGCCATGGATTTCTCTCTGGTGTCTTTAGGTTCCACTATCCATTTTCTATGCTTCATAATTCTTTATTTATTTAACTTACTATGCCCTATTTGCCTTTTTCTTTTTTTATCAACTGGCATGCATTGCTTTCTTATTTCTAAGTCCTGTGGTTGCTTTGCCATTGAGCCAGGGCACACTTCTTTTTCATTGAATTTGTGTCTTTTGACCATAATCTCTTTTAAAAGAAACACAAAAAAAATCCTAATTTTCTGTCAATTTTTCATCACAGTCAGTTTTACTCAACATTTTTCTCATCTATAAGAAATTTGCTCCTTTAAGACTATGTGTATAGGCTGGTTTTAAAACTGGGGTATACAATACTGATTAGGAGTCCCCTCTATTTGTCCCTATTAAATGTAATTGGGTCATGATCACTGGTTCACAAACAAAGCTCAGTGGTCTGTATCTGTCATAATGATGACTAAAAGAGTTACCTTACATTGCATTTTGATAAATTAGCATGCATAATTTCTAGATTCAATTAAGTTTTATTACTGGCCTTGTGGGATCTCCAGTGGATGTTTCCCAGATTGAGGTCCCCCATAACAACTCAGTTTTTCTTTTTACACTTTACAGGAGCGTTTTAGAAGCAATTCCTCCAGTTCTATGGACTGATTCAGTAACTTGTAACAACCCTGTCCCCAGCACTCTTTTCTGAGCTTTGCTCATAAGCTGTATAAAAATATTACTGCAGAGGGGAATACTAAATTGGTGAACAAATGCATGAAATGTGAATTCACTTTCATGAAAGTTGCAGTATTACCAGGCCTGAAGCTGATGTTCTTTATTTATCCATAGGATACATTCATCATAAGCAGCACAGGCTCCTCTACCTTGGGCTGATATTGGCTTTTCTTTTTGCACAATCAACCAAGATGCCCACATTTTATCTTTTGCTCTGTGATTGCCATTTCATCTATGCCATCATGTGGCAGCTTCTGGTTAAGCTGTGAATCTTGTCCTAGATATAAAACTAAGTTTGTTTTATATCCAGGACACTCCCCCCCACTGTAGCCCACCTGGGCAGCAACCCACAGACACCCACCCCACCGCCTGCCCCCAGCACCATGCTCACTGCAGGCAGTTTTCAGAAAAATACTTTATCATCCTCACAACAAATGGATTCCCCCTCCCCAGCACCAGAGCCCCTCCACCACCCACCAATAAAACACCCTCTTCCTATGCAAACTATTTACAAGTAGCTGAAACCCGCAAAAAATTTGTGATTAAATTTTTATTGCAAAAGTATTTCTTTAAATACAGGATTTTTAGTGATCCTTTGACCAACTACCTTAACAGAATCAAAACTTCTCACCCTTGAAAAGGCTACATAAAGCTGTCCATGTTGAAACACAGGCTTAGGAATATAAATACATATTTTGTGAAAAGTCTGACCTTGTGACTTGCTTGTAGTCATAGAATAAGATGGCCCATGTACACGTGACTAAGGGAAATTGTGACTAATGTGAGGAAATTGCCCTTTTTAGTATTTTAATTGCCCTTTTTAATTATTTAATTGTGTAATGATTTAAACATGTAACAGTTTAACTAACAACCTAAAAGTTAAGTGGTCTCTAAGCCATGACCAAACTCCTGTACTAGCCAGTTTTCCTCCACTAAATTTGTAATGCCATTCTTGTCTCTCTCCCACCCTCTCAACCAGACCTCACCTTGCATGTAACATGCACTCACACTAAGCATAGGCACTGCGGTGTCAGCTGTTCTGGCCTGTAAAAGCACAGCACATCTGAGGGCAATAGGTCTAGGGTCAAGTAGCAAGGGTGAGCTCACTGGGGAGCCGAGTACACAAATGTAAATCAATCCTCTCAGGGTTTTGGGTATTTCAAGAGTCCTGGCTTAACAAGAAGGAAACACAGTTGGCAAAAAACAAAATTGCTGCTTGTAAAGCGCTAGGCAGGGAATTTCAGACCCAAACAGGTTTCTGGTCAGCACAATCCCCATTCCTCTTTCCTGGAATAACCCAATACCCCTCTACACAGCTAAACTGAAAGCTTATCTACACAGAGAACTTAGTGCAGTGTAAGCCAGGGCATGTTTTTGGTGAGCACCTGGGGTATCTACACAATTAATTAGTGCACTAGCTAATGAGTAATAAATTCACACCCAAGCTCCCTCTGATTTCCTAGTGGACACATGCCCTAAACAGGCTCAGCTGCCCCTGTGGCCCTAAATGTAACCAATTTCCCAGTGGAGAGGGTGTTTCTGACTTGACTGAGAATTAAGTATGACCAGTAGGTGAGAATTACCCTAGTTTTCAGAAGCTCCATTTAAAGCAGTGATTCTCAACTAGCAGCCTTGAGATCCTTTCAAGGGTGTCATACCATATTAGCACTGGTAGGTGTGCAAACAAGATTCGCAAGATAAACCCAGAGATTTCAAGTTGGAATCTATAATGTTAAAAACATTCAGACCTGTTGTGGGCTTTCTGAGTTATCTGGAACAGAAGAATTATTCTATTACTTTTCTGTAGTCAAAAAAGTAAGTGAAAACTAAGAGCTGATATTTTTCAAGGGGTGCCCCAAGCCTAAAAAGGTTGAGAGCCACTGATTTAGAGGCACTAAAACAGCTGATTATTCCCTCTCTTCCCTTACTCTCCCTCTCTCCTGCCCCCTGGCAGGCTTCAAAAGATCCATAGCAAGATCTTTGTCTCATTTCTGAGCCTAGACTGGGGTCAGCACTACAGTCAGCTTTGGACACTAACATAATATATATTTAATCCCACTGTTATCCCATTGCACTGTTACCCACATCACACATGGACTGTAATCTGCTGTTTGACTAGCTTAATTTTTATTTTCCAGCAGAAGTGAGAGACTTAGACATAAATAGTTCCAAGAAAGTATCATGTATGTATTGCTCTTTATTTAATAGTTTTGCTTCCTTGGTTTAGTACAAAACATCATTCTTTATTCCTATCTAGGAGGAGGCCACCATGCTGTTATTAGGTCAACTGCACCATGTGTTTAAAATAACATCACACTGAACAGGAGCACAAGCTGAACCAGAAGGTTCATAGTTTAAGTGGGCAGATCCCCAGGGCTATTTTTAAATATTAGGGTCAGGGTCAGGTTGCACTGCTGCATTAACATGAGTGTTAACTTTGGTTGTCAGCCCTGGACTTAGACTGACATCCTGGCTCTGAAGGCACAGTCATCTGGCAATGAGAGCCAAGGACCAAGACAGATGGGAGGAACTGAAGGAATACTTAAGACATATGAGAAGTTAGGTCTTTTGTTGTTCAGGGCTCAGATTGTAAACCTGATAGAAGAGCTTCCAGTTCATCTATAGGCACCTCTTTTCAATAGGACACACTTTCTATGCCAGTGTTTCCCAAACTTCTGATACCAGGGGTGCAGTTTTTTTTTCTGGATTAAAATCAAATAGCACACTTCATTCAGTGGTCTGCAGGCCTGATCCTGCTGCATGGGGTTGGCACACCCAGGGCCTCATCCAGTCCACTGCGTTGGCAGCACACTTAGTAAGTGCGCGGTGGCACACCCTTTGGGAATGCTCTTCTATGACTTTCATTCCTTTTGTCCCAGTAACAGGCTGGTCTGTTCCTTATAGAGGGAACAGTCAGCTCTGTTGAGAGCCTAGCTGCAGAGCATTTGGGTAGGCAGGGAGTGTCTGCCTTGCTAAGCTAAGAGTTTTAAATAGCACCGAGAAGAGAAAGCAAGAGAGGAGGAAGCAAGTTGTGAATGCAACTGGTTGTTACGAGAAGGGGGTCAGGATACTTTGCTGGGAGTCAGAGCCAAATGATTCTTCCTTGAGTGCCTGGGCCAAGGCAGAAGGTTTTTGTTTTGTTTGCTTATTTGTTGGCCTGTTTGTTGCCTAAAGACAGTGTTCCTTGAGAGGATTGGCTAAGGAGCTCCTTGGTGAGTAAAGCCTGCCTGCAGAGGCCAGCAGGCTAGGGACCAAGCTTACAGGCCATTCTTCCGTTCTGCCCCCATCTCCCCTTCACTTTAGTAGTCAGTGCAGTGGCATGGATTTCAAAACCACATCTGGATTAGCACAACCTGGATTGCTATAACTAACCCACTGATTCTGAGTATACCAGATGTTTATACATCCCTTTCCAGCCTTTGTCATCCTGTATGCAGTTTGCTGTTTACCTTAGATTTGTTTCTGTAATATTGTTTCCTTTTCTGTGTTTTCCTTCTGTGATTATAGGCATATAACTCTTTCTCAAGTGAAATTGCTCTGCATGTATTCCGATTTAATTGTCCAGGTCTGCAAAGTTCTAAGTGGGTTCAACTCTCTATGAATGTAGGAAGATCTGAGGGTACTGAGCTCACAGGACTGGTCCCTGCATATCATTTTTATTTATTTATGCTCATTTCAATATTGTCTCTAAACCTTGTTGGGTTTTACAGTCAGTAATACCTCACAAAATCTGCAAAAATATATTTTAGAAATTGTATTCTGTATCTTTTATGTTTTCACCCTTCTCTCTTATTGCAAGGGACCATTACATAAAAGAATCTTGCTTTTAAGCATTTATCTGTATGTGCTCCTTCTTCCCCATCAGCTCTGAAAATCTTCTATCTGTGACATCATCTCTGCTCATCCAGCTGATTGTTTTATATTTATATTTAAATGCCTTTAACAATCAGTCGCAGGTGAAGGGAAACCCTAGACCTCTAATAGCAAAATCTCTCCCTTTGGTAACTGGGGACCAAATTGTGGTCTTTAGCTACTGTCCTAAGTAGGAGCTGTTGAAAAACTGCAATGCCTTACATGAAGCATTCTACATGTGCACATACCGCTGCAGCCTACCTGCTTGAGACCCAGGGAGATGAGGGTGTGTGGTCATTGTCCTTACTTTTCTTTGTCTTGTCTTACTGTCCTTTGGGGGAGTATAGAAACTTCTTCCCTCAGTCTGCCCAAATGCAAGGATCTCAGTCATGCTTGTATGGAGGACAGCTGTATAAAGCAAGAGAAGCTTGCTGTGGGTGGTAACCCACATGACCAAATGATGCAGCAAGTCCAGTAGGCCCCCAGTGCTTGGCACGTTGACAGCCTGTGATATGTTACTCCCAGTTGATAGTGTGGTTAGTGTCTTGGAAAAGTCCTTCAGTGTTTCTCTCTTCTTATTCATGCAACTTCTGGCCTAATCACTCCTCCAAATCCTACAGCCTACATTCAGTTAAGTCAGATGTTGTGGATGCTGTTTCTTGTGTCCTGGCACAGGAAGGCTTACTCTGATTTTTTATATATATATATTTTTTTTAAATTCAAAGAAGAAAAGCAGCTGCTAGGACTTGGGTCTGCGATTGTGTAGGCATCTGGGACGGTTAGCTAGTGTGCTTAATTGCTGTGAACTGGCTAATGCAATAGTGGCTGTGTATTAAACTTTGTGTAGGACTGTAGTCTACTGTGGATGACCTTGACACATTTGTAGATGGTGGCTGAGCAGGCTTTGATATGTAAGCAATCCAGCCTTTTTGCCTATTTTTTGGATTAATTAATGCCATTTCTGAGAAACTAAGTAACTTCTTAATTTTGGTGGGAAGGCATGGGGGGTGGGGTGCTTACCTCCTCATGCAGGCTACAGCGGCACTGACACAGCTGCTGTTGCCTCAGTGCAAGATCCCTCAGTACAGTCTGCAGTAGTAGTGCAGGTTCTCTAGGGGTTGCCATTTTGGTGACCCCCCTGAATCAACACCTAGAGCCAGTGCCCTGGTTGCACCCCCCCACCCCCCCCAAAGTTATGCTACTGTTTGTCAGAGAATCGCTGTGAGTTACAGGAATGCAGCTAGGGCCTAGACTGCTGCAGGGTTCATAGATTCATAGATACTAGGGTCAGAAGGGACCTCAATAGATCATCGAGTCCGACCCCCTGCATAGGCATGAAAGAGTGCTGGATTTAGATGACCCCAGCTAGATGCCTATCTAACCTCCTCTTGAAGACCCCCAGGGCAGGGGAGAGCACCACCTCTCTTGGGAGCCCATTCCAGACCTTGCCCACTCTAACTGTGAAGAAGTTCTTCCTAATGTCTAGTCTAAAT